TCTGCCCTCACCTTTATGATATTGATGTCAATAATTACATCTCTTTATATTGTATATAAATTAACACATGGAAATAATAATTTTTTATTTTACCTTTCAAATTTTATAGCATAATTAATATTTTGCACCAACATTATGATAATGCACAATTTTATTCTTCATATATGCATATTTTTCCCATAGAGTTATGTAGTTGTCCTGGAAGATAGAAACCACTCTTTGGAAAGGCTATGAAAAAACAGATATGTGGACATTTGCCTATAGTTTCATTCTCTTTTGGTAGGAAATCCAGGACATGGGATTTTTCTACTAAAGTCATAACTCAGTATCAGCATGGAGGAAGGGCTTTGGTGGGTAAATGCAACAAAGTTTCCTTCCCCTTCCATGTGGTTTTTGGTGTTATTCTAATTTAGGTGTCTATGAACAATTAGCAGTTATGATTTCTAAAAGAATCATGGTTGTCAGTATATTTTTAAGGTCATACATCTATGATAGTATATATGACAGTATATTTTTAAGGTCATACATGGATGATAGATACCATTGCTAATTTGCTTTCTACAGTTTTATATATTCAAATTGTGAAATATATTCACCTGAGTCTAGTCAGTGAGATACTTTGTTATTTTCATTTCTTTCAGAACTGTCTTCCCATTGCACCAAAGAACTATTGCCAGAGCAAGGCATAAAAGACCCATTTCAGAAATCAATACTGAGACTATATGGAAGCTGTGGCCTTGAAAATGTACACTTAAAAAGAGAATGGGATTGTGTGGTTGAGTGTAAGAAGCAGAAAGTATGTTCTGATGGCCTTACCCAATGTCTATCAAGTTGCCATAGAAAAATCTTCAAATGTTATAAATGCATAAAAGTCTTTAGTAAATCATCAAATCTAAATAGACACAACAAAAGACATACTGGAGAAAAAACATTCAAACTTAATGAATGTGGCAAAATTTTTAATCACAGCTTTAATGTATCTGGACATAGGAAATTTCATATGACAGAGAAATCCTACAAGTGTGAAGAATGTGGAAAATCCTTTAACTGTTGCTCAAAACTTATTATACATGGGAGAATTCACACTGGAGAGAAGCCCTACATATGTGAAGAATGTGGCAAAGCCTTTAACCAGTCCTCAAACCTTACTCAACATAAAAGAATTCATACTGGAGAGAAACCCTACAAATGTGAAGAATGTGGCAAAGCCTTTGCCTCGTGTACAAAACTTACTGTACATAACAGAATTCATATGGGAGAGAAACCCTACAAATGTGAAGAATGTGGCAAAGCCTTTAACCAGTGCACACACCTTACTCAACATAAAAGAATCCATAGTGGAGAGAAACCCTACAAATGTGAAGAATGTGGCAAAGCCTTTACCTGGTGTACAAACCTTGCTCTACATAAAAGAATTCATATGGGAGAAAAACCATACAAATGTGAAGAATGTGGAAAAGCCTTTACCCAGTTTACACACCTTACTCGACATAAAATGATCCATACTGGAGAGAAACCCCACAAATGTGAAGAATGTGACAAAGCCTTTACCCGGTGTACAAATCTTACTCTACATAAAAGAATGCATATGGGAGAGAAACCATACAAATGTGAAGAATGTGGCAAAGTATTTACCCAGTGCATACAGCTTTCTCGACATAAAAGAATCCATTCTCGAGAGAAACCCTACAAATGTGAAGAATGTGGAAAAGCCTTTACCCAGTGCACATACCTTACTGAACATAAAAGAATTCATACAGGAGAGAAACCTTACAAATGTGAGGAATGTGGCAAATCCTTTACCCAGTCCTCAACCCTTACTCAACATAAAAGGATCCATACTGGAGAGAAACCCTACAAATGTGAAGAATGTGGCAAAGCCTTT